GATGTAGTTGACAAGGCTAGAAGTCCGATATGGGATTAAAGATTTAAATTGTGGATGTAGTTGGCAAGGCTGAAGTCCGATCATTTCATTTCTCGGTTTTTTTTTTTTTTTTTTTTTTCCCCACCTTTTCTCTATTAATTAAAGAGAACTATTACGAGGGAAATGGAATTCATTTTTTTTCCATTTGTCTCTATTTTTAATACAAACCAAACAAAAGAAACCAAATTGACTCTATTTCTGTCCTTCAAATTTTTTATCAAACCCACCCTAAAATAGGTAATAAATCTTGAAATAAATTTCATGAGCCTCAACTCTCACATCCATAGCCCGAGTAGGCATGCGTGGGTAGATGTACGTGGACAAAAAAAAAAGCCTTATAAACTCAATCAAGATTCTTCCTCTCTTTAAATTAACCAACTTGTAAAATAACCATTTAAATTTCCAAGAGAAATTTACATTCTAACATGCCCAGGTAACCTCATAACCCACTTATGCAAGTGGGGTTCGGTGCTGGTTTGGTCAACCAAATGCCGTTTTCGCACCATGATTCTTTCTAATACCAAATTGATTATAACGACTTCTTGGGTCAACCCTTCTAGTCTTCTTGCTTCTCCCACCACACAACCTTCTTTGGAAAAATAAATACTATATTCTAAAAGATTTTTACAATTCAGAGAAGAGAACGTCAATGGAAAACTTTCACAATTTATTTATTTTTGCTCTTCAGTTTTTCTTTTTGGCAACGTGTTCACAAAGAGACACGATAGCATATGATCAAGCCATCCGCGATGGCGATACCCTTGTTTCCTCCAATGAAATGTACGAACTCGGGTTTTTTAGTCCTGGAAGCTCTAGGAACCGCTATTTAGGCATATGGTACAAGAACATATCCCCACAGACAGTGGTGTGGGTTGCTAACAGGGAGACGCCAATAACAGATTCATCCGGTGTTTTTAGAGTCGACACCAACGGATCCCTACGGGCTATCCTCAGTAGCAACAACACTACTATCTGGTCATCTAACCTCGGCCTAGTATCTCACACAACACTACATTCAGTGGCGCAACTTTTAAACTCTGGAAATCTGGTTCTCAGAACATCCGGTGAGGAAAGCTTCATTTGGCAAAGCTTTGATTACCCTGGGGACACATTTCTTCCAGGGATGAAATTGGGGAAGGACCTTGTCACTAGGCTAGATAGGCGGTTGACATCATGGAAGAGCCTCGACGACCCTTCACCCGGCCCATATGTATCATTCATGGATACAAACGGGTTCCCTCAGTTGTTTGAAGAACAACAAGATTCGGTTCCGCACTTGAGATTCGGACCATGGAATGGTATTACCCTCAGTGGCATGCCTAGCTTGGGATCAAACCCTATATTCACTCACGAATTTGTTTTCGATGATAAGGAGGTTTACTACGGGTACACACTTGTTAACAGTTCAGGCGTCACGCGTGTGTATCTGAGTCCAGAAGGAAACATGCTACGACTAAACTGGATCGAAAGAACACAGACGTGGTTCCTATACTGGAACGCAAATATTGACATATGCAGCCGATACGGATTATGTGGTCCATATGGAAGTTGCAACAGGAACAACTCGCCGCCTTGTAGCTGTATGGAAGGATTCGTACCACGAAACCCGGATGAATGGAGTGCCTCAAAGTGGTCAAGTGGGTGTCGTCGTAGAACATCTTTAGGTTGTCAGAATGGGGATGGTTATCGAGTCTTTAAAAACGTTAAGATGCCAGACACTCAGCTTTCATGGTACAATCGGAGCATGACACTTGGCGAATGTGAGACAGCCTGCAAGCAGAATTGCTCTTGCGTAGCGTATGCAAATATCGATATAAGAATGAATGGAATCGGATGCTTGCTGTGGTTCGATGATCTAATGGATATTGGAACAGTGGATGAAAGCCAGGATCTTTATGTAAGAATGGCCGTCTCCGACTTGACGAGTAAGCTCATTTTTCATATTAATTCTTTACCCGCTATGGAAAACCGTCACTAAACTTTAACAAGGAACAGAAAGGAAGCACAATTCCTATAATTTAGAGTAAATTACACGAATGGATACTATGATTTGGAGTAATTTGCACGTTTGGTTTTTAATTTGTTTTTTTTAACTCGAAAGGTCCCTACTGTTTGTTATCGCTAAACACTTGGTCCCTATTGTTTGTTTTTGTTACGTGTTTGGTCCATATCTTAAGTAAAAAGATAACTATTTAAATAGAGAAAAATGATAGGGTAGGTATATTAAGGAGATGAGATGGGGATGGGGGTGTGTTTATTTAAATAATTAAAAAATTAAGGGAAAAATAGACTTTTTATGTAGGACATGAACCAAACGTGTAACAAAAACTAACAGTAAGGACCTTTTGAGTTAGAAAAATAAGTTAGGGACCAAACAACAAGTTACCCTAAACTATAGGGACCATTCGTGTAATTTAGCCTAAAATTTATTTTCGGATTTATACACATTTAGTCGTTGAGTTTTTTTTTTTTTTCCTTTTTTTTGTCTATATTTTCTCAATGAACTTGTTGAATCGTTTAAAAAACATCATTATGACTTGCTATCGGATGTTTAGCCGGTTTCCGACGTATTTGACACCTCCGGCGATGCTCCGTTCATCTTCTCTGCCGAGTATCCGGCGAACGCAAAAACTTCGGACTATTATCTCTCTCTCTCTCTCTCTCTCTCTCTCTCTCTCTCTCTCTCTCTCTCTCTCTCTCTCTCTCTCTCTCTCTCTCCAAACAATTTACATACATCAAATCTATGATAAATGACAAGAAAAACGCCTCTTTTCTTTTATAAAATCGTGTGTGTGCTCTGACAAGAAACAAGAACCAAACAAGAAGGGTACTCCCCATCTCTTTCAAACTCGATCTCCAAGCATTGAGCAACAAGAAGAATCGATTGCAGGCTCCTTCTCTTTTTTGTTCTCACTGCAATCAACACCCACCCTCTTCGACTTTGATTGCAACCTCTTTGTCTCCCATTGTGTTGGTTCAAAGGATAATTCATCAACGAGCTTTTATATTATCCTGCATAGGTTGTACTTTGTTGACTTTCAACCATTAGAGAAAATTGAAGGAGAATCGTCTGACGTGAATTACTCGTCGATGAAGTTTGATCGGAGGTTGTCAGAGATAGCTTGAGATGGGATCTAGTTTTATGATGGTGAAGGTCTCGGTTTTAATGGTGGGTTGGAGGTTGAAGACGATGAACAGTAAACAATTTTAATGGTGGATTTAACAAACCTAGAAAATGTAACTGAGTTATTGATAGAGAGACGAGGGAGGAGGAAGAAGGGCTTGGTGGTGGTGGTGGTTGATAAGAATGACAATCAAGAAGTGAGGTGTGTGTTTGTGTTTTTTATTTGAAAATCAAAATCAAATATAATGTGTGTTCTTGAGTTATTAATGCGAAAATAAAAACCTTATTTGTTTGTGTTACAACTTGCCGGAAAAATTATATTGGCCGGAGAAGATGACCAAAGTCTCGCCGAAGATGCAAAACGGTCAGAAACCGACTAAACCCACACCAACCCGTCATAAGGGTAACATATTGACAAAAAAACAAGTTTAACGAGAAAATGTGGACAATTTTTCTTTTCAATAACTAAATGTTCACAAAACGAAAATTAAATTACATTTTTAAGTCATTATCCTAGTATTTTAATATGAGAAAATTAACAATTAAGTGCAATTTTATTTTTTTAATCCATGTAACATACTTTTTAACTATATGTCATGTACACTTTGCATATTTTATGTACAAACTTACCACTTTTATCACTTAAGGCAAAGTATCCATATCCTTAGTAATACTTTTTACATATAGCATGGCAAGTTTGTTATGCTAAAACACTATGACATAATAAAAATACTTTTTGTCAGCTATACTTTTTTGCGGTTTTGTCACAAAATATAGCCACACTATGGAAAGAAAATACAATCACCACCGCCACCTCCACCTTTGACCACCATACCCTCTAGCGGACAATAACCCACCACCGACACATATAAGTTACATAACCCCATTTTATTCCACATACGTCGACATTAATCGACTCCACTCTTCTAACAAAATTAGTTGGTTATCTCTTACAGATGTAGCCAAACCACCATAATCTTTCCTCCTTAAATTTATCGACGATCGAAGGCACCCCTAACGAATTCCTAATTCACGATTTTGGTATCATGTCGAACAAACTTCTACCATAAGGACACTATAACATTCCCATTTACATTACCTCTATCTTCCCTCTCACAACCCTTAATCGAAAAACATTCATATCAATATAACAAAGCCGAACTTATTGCGACCTTATAAATTCCCCTTTTAGTTTAAGCATCACCTTCTTATCACACAAAACTTATGTAGATGTCATCTAATTTAACCATCATGACTTTATGCGGTGACTAACATCATCCTCAACACCTTTTCCTTAAGATTCATAGAACCCATGTACTTGAAACTCTCTTTCGGGTGTAAGACATGCTCATTCGCGTATATTTATATTGCTTCAACACTTTTTTCCCCACTAAAATTGTATTATATATATATATATATATATATATATATATATATATATATATATATATATATATATATATATATATATATATATATATATATCCCTTCTTAGTAGTGTTAGAAAGAAATATGGGAGAGACTACAGCATAAACGGGAAAGCGGTAACCTTCTACTTTCAAAACTTTCCTGCAGATTGGAATGAAGCGGCACTATGGAGGATGTTTAAAAGATTTGGAGCAGTTGTTGATGTTTACGTTGCAAAGAAACTAAACCGTCTCAAGAAGAATTTTGGGTTTGTTAGATTCATTCGAGTTCAAGACAGCCTTTCTTTTGAAAAAAGACTAAATGGAATTTACATAGGAGCTAAGTGAATGTGGCCCGGTTCGGCAGGAAAGAGACGGCAACTCGAAGGAAAAATCCCCAAGCAATGGAAAACCCTCTCTCAGCCACAAAAATGAACCACAACATGCCTGGTAGGTCCTATGCTGAGATCGTAAAGGGGTCTAACAAAAAGGATAAAGAGAATAATGAGGGGTTGGAATTTCCGGGAAAACCTATTAAGTTGCTATCCTTCTCTGGTTCAAAAGAAGCCATGCAGAATACTTTGGTGGGGGAGTTAGAAAATTTCCAAGCCCTCATGAATGTGAAAGCTTTCCAGGAGGTTGAGGGATACCCAGCGATACAGTTAAGATACTTAGGGGGACTGAAGATGCTCCTTGAATTCGAAAGTTCCAGTGAGAAAGAAAAGTTCCTGTCCAACGGTAGAGAGATTTGGCAACCGTGGTTCAAAACAATCACGCCCTGGGACGTGGAGTGCAATTTCAATGAACATATTGCATCTCTAATCATCCAAGGTGCACCTCAACATGCTTGGTGTGAAGAAGCTTTCAGTATCATTGCGTCAAAGTAGGGGAAAGTGGTTATTCCAGAGGAATGCAGTACTGATTCACCTAACCTGGCTTTCGGGAGGGTCGGAATCCTTAATCTCACCCTGGTATCGTCAGTTCTTCTATTACAATCTCGGTGGATGGAATCCTGTACAAGATAAATGTAATGGAGGATATCTTTGAATCCCTAAAGCTTAGCCCGGTTCTCGCTGCAAACGATTTCTATCAGAAGATGTCATGGTGGGATGAAGACAGCACTGGCGAAAACGATAGTTTGTTTAGTGAAGCCCCGATCCAACCTGAAGATATGTTAGAGTCACCGGAAGTTTCTCCGACGAAGGCTCAACTGCCACGCCATCAAGAAGGGGGAGAGGAAGAGTCACATGGAAATGCCCAGCCTCGGGAACAATGGAGTCTCCTCGTAACCCCAAATCTGGGGAACCTCGTCAAGAGTTCGTGCCACCTCCGTTACTTGACTCCGGTAACGCCCCAGTTGGTATCTCATTCTCCCTGGGCCAAAATAACAATTGGGCCCAATCTGCTCCGACGTTAAATGGACAACAGCCCAATTACTCACTGGATCTTAATATAGCCCCTTCTCGATTAAACCCAACTGAGTCCCTAGATCATGTCATTGCTCGATCCAATAGTCTATCACATCCGGATCTTGGTTGTTCGCAGGGTGGCCCCTCTCCAGGACGGAATCCCCCCACCGGTGTCCCCCAAAACTCTCAGAGAGTCTCGTCGTCGTCCTGGTCGCATCATCCCCCTCAGCAATCGGCCTCTCACATCGTTTCAACCGATTCAAATGCCGGTCGCAAGAACAATTGTTGTTGGAGAATTCGTTGGCTTCCAAGTCGGAAACAGAGCTGATCAACTGAAGTCGATGATTAAAACTCGAGGAGTATCGATAACTGATCAATGAATATTCTCTCCTATAATATTCGAGGAATTGGGTGTGATGTTAAAAGGAGTTGGCTTAGGGAATGTCGCAGTAAAAATCACATATTCTTTTTGGGGTTGCAGGAAACTAAATCTACAGAGGTAAGAGATAAAATGGATAGGCAAATATGGGGTTCTCCTAACTTCCAATGTGAGGTAATTGACCCAACGGGTTTCTCTGGTGGAATTGCTTCTTTGTGGGATCCCTCCCTTTTAAAGGTCTCTGAATCAATAAAAGGTAATGGTTTTCTCGCCATCAAGGGTATTTGGCTTAAGTCAGGGAAAAATGTTTGCTTGGTGAACGTATATGCCCCGCAAGATCCTCTGAAGAAACGGGCTCTGTGGAACAATCTATCTGACCTCCTGAATTCAGACTCGGAAGTTTGCTGGTTTGTTTTTGGTGATTTTAATGTAGTCCGCATGCCTGAAGAAAGACTTGGCTCTGTTTTCTGTCAAAATAGTGCATATTATTTCAATAAATTCATTCACTCTCTCGGGCTTCTAGAAGTTAAAATGGGGGGTCGTAGATTTACGTACATGAATGCAGCTGGGGATAAGCATAGTAAGCTCGACATATTCCTTGTCTCTCTAAAAGCTTTTGAGTTCTGGCCAAACTTAAACGTTACAGCCTTGCCAAGGGTTCATTCAGATCATTGCGCTATCCTCCTATCCGCTTCTTTCCTTGATTTCGGTCCAACACCTTTCAAGTTCTACAACTCTTGGATAAAAGACCCTGGGTTCGAGGACATATTAAGAAGAGGATGATCAATTAGTAACAACCCAATGCATAGATTTTTGTTATCCCCACTATCTCTTGTTGCAGGCAAATTAAAAAATTTAAAAGAGCATATCAAAATATGGAGAAAGGAAACGATAGAAAAGGCCAAAAAGGAGATAGTTGAGCTCACCGAAAAGCTAAATGGCATTGATCTCTTGGCGGAGTTGGGTCAAGCAAATGAAGAACAGATGCAAAGTCGGAAAAATGCTTATAAAAAAAATTATGGAGCTCGAATCCAGGCGTATCGAAGATTTGAAACAAAAGTCTAGAATTAAATGGGCTCTAGATGGCAATGAAAACAATGCTTTCTTCCATGGTTTAATAAACAAGCATCGAAGATCTCAGAGGATTAATGGAATAAAGGAGAATGGATTCTGGATTAACGATCCAGTAGCAATAAAGGAGATGTTCACAAAACATTTCGCTGGGAGATTTGCTGAACCCATTAAGTCGCGCCCGAAATTCCTCAACCCAAAATTCAACATGCTCCCCCCCTCCGCAATCACTTATTTAGAGGAGCCATTCTCTTTTGAAGAAATCAAATCATCCATGTGGGCATGTGGCTTGGATAAGGCTCCTGGCCCTGATGGCTTCTCCTTCGCCTTTCTGAAACGTCACTGGGAAGTGATTGGAGGTGACTTCTATCTTGCAGTGAAACACTTTGAAGCTACCAGGCACATCGACAAAGGTTGCAATTCATCTTTTATCACCCTTGTCCCGAAGGTCCAGGATCCGATCACAATAACTGACTTCCGCCCAATTAGCCTGCTAGGTTTTCTATACAAATCGATATCAAAGGTCCTAGCAGAACGTCTAAAAAAGGTGGTTCATCTAGTGGTTAGCTCTTCACAGACGGCTTACATCAAAAACCAGCACATACTAGACGGGCCTCTTATCCTAAATGAAGTGATCAATTGGTTAAAAAAGAATAAAAAGAAAGCTTTCACTTTTAAAGTAGATTTTGAAAAGGCTTTTGACTGCCTTAGCTGGGAGTTCTTGGACTCAATCATGGAACAAATGGATTTTGGGGTTAAATGGTGATCGTGGATCCAACAATGTTTATCATCAGCTATGACCTCGGTGATTATCAATGGAGCGGCTACTTCAGAATTTGCTATGGAACGTGGAGTAAGGCAGGGTGACCCGTTGTCTCCGTTCCTTTTCATTATTGCAGCAGAAGGACTGAACATAGCATTGGAAACAACTAAAGAGAAAGGTTTATTTGAAGGTATTCAGCTTCCCAGGCATGGACTTGTAATTTCCCACCTGCAGTATGCAGATGATGTAGTTTTTATGGGCAAGTGGTCGGAAGAAAATTTAAAAAACCTGATCAGAATCCTAAGGTGTTTTGAGCTAGCTTCAGGTCTCAAGATAAATCTGTCAAAAAGCAAATTATATGGTGTCGGTACTCAGGACAGCGAGTTAGATTTGGTGGTCAGAAGTCTCAATTGCTCCATGGGGTCTTTCCTATTTATCTACTTAGGACTTCCTGTTGGCGCTTCCATGGGTAGAATAACTCACTGGAAACCCATCATTGAAAAATTCCAGGCGAAATTATCTAGATGGAAAGCCTCCACATTGTCATATGGGGGTCGTTTGACTTTATGCAAGGTTGTTCTGGGCAGTCTTGGATCTTTCTATCTTTCTCTTTACAAAGCTTCAGTAAAGGTTATCAAAAGTCTTGAAAGGATCCGAATGAGGTTTTTTTGGGGTGGCTGTTCCGAATATAAAAAATTGCTTGGATCGCTTGGGAGAAGATTCTAGCAGCTAAAGAAAGGGGTGGGCTCGGAATCGGTAACTTGAAAGCACAAAACTATGCTCTTCTGGGGAAATGGTGGTGGAGATTTAAGAGAAACCCTGTTAGTATATGGGCTACGGTAATTAAAGCAATTCATGGCCCTGATGGTGGCTTCTCTCGTCCTTTGTCAGCAAAAAGAAGAAGTGGTTGCTGGGGGTCGATTGTTAACCTTCCAAAATGGCTAGAAAAGGACTAGGTGTCTTTCTTTGACCACTTTAAACAGGTAGTAAATACGGATGGCTCTCTAAAATGGACTTGGTCGCTAGAATCATCTGGGGTTTACTCTGTCTCCTCGCTAAGGGTTCATATCGACAATCTGATCCTCCCCGACAAAAGTGACGATGCATGGGTATGGAATCCTCTGGTCCCGGGTAAACTAAATGTACTAGCTTGGCGAGTTGGGCTTGGAAAACTTCCATGTATGGAGAATCTCTACAGAATTGGTGTAAGCTCCTCAAACTTATGCAAAATGTGTAACGAAGCTCCAGATTCGGAAGACCATATCTTTGTGGGATGCTCGGTATCTAGAGAAGTTTGGCTGCAGGTGAGCAATTGGTGGCGGCTGCTGGAACACTCCCCCAACACTTGTAGAGAGCTGTTAAACTGTAAAAATCGGCTTGGCGGGCATCAAAGTCTGAAGGTGTTTCACGAAGCTATAATGCTATGCTTCTTGTGGGTTATTTGGAGATTCAGAAACCAGAAGGCTCATGCGGATTTTTCGAGTTCCAAATCGGGTCTGTCATCTGAGGTACAAGTCCTCTCTCACTTGTGGCTCAATGCTCGGAAGCGGTCAGGGCAAAATTTAAGGTGGACACATTGGTGCAGTGACCCAATCCTCGAATGTTATAGTAGGCTATAATCTTTTTTGATCTCTTGTATTTTCGTTTTCTTAGTTCTCCTTTGTACTCATTCTTCTAGCCTCTGGCTAGTTTCTTTTTTAATGAATGCCTGCTGTTCCAAAAAAAAAAAAAAAAAAAAAAAAAAACTAGCATTCCACTATGTTCTATACTCGACCTTTAAAAGTACGTCGTTTGCGAAAAGCATACATAGTACCCCTTCTTGGGTATCACAAAATATTTTTTCCATAATCAAGGAGAATAGACTAACATTTGACCCACTAGTAGGAGCCTAATGTTTATTGAAAAATCATTTGGTCTCCAGTTGTAGTCTGGACACAAGTATAGATGGGCAGTACATATCTCATACGACTGGACATAACTCTATGTGAACCTTCGAGCTTTTATGGTCTTCAATATTGTCTTACATAGGACAATATCATATGTCTTCTCCAGGTCAATGATCACCATGTGAAGATCCTTTTTCTCGATATTTCTCCATAAAACATCAATGTAAGTGAATTGCCTCAGTAGCAGATCTTGCAAGCATAAAGCAAAATTTATTTTTCAATATTAAAGTTTCTCGTCTTATCCTAGCCTCTAAAACCTTTTTCTACAACTTCATGGTATTATTAAGGGATTCAATACATATATAGTTCCCACAAGTTTAAGCATCTCCTTTTTCTTACATATTAGAAATCATAATACTAGATCTTTACTTCTATTGTATCTTGGCCATCTCTAAAATAATGTTAGAGAGGTTTGTCAACCACTGTACACCCTCATCACCTAGACACAAACATATAGTAATAGGGATCTCATCACGACTAATGGGTTTATCCCTACCTATCCTTATTAATTCCCTATTTCATTATGTATCATCAATAATTATAATGGGACAAACATCAAATGTTTCAGTTAGCCCAAAAAAGCCCTTAGTAATTCAATCTCTATCCCATGAAGTTCCCTCGTCAAATAAGGAATAAAAAGGAACAACCTCACATCATCTTAATATCCACTTCTTTCACTAAAAGTTGGTAATTATCATCCCTAATATACCTTATGCTTCCTAAGTCTTTTTTCATAAGCCATATCTTTTACTTTAGTGTAACGTCCCAAAATTGCCAGTAATTTTTTTTTTGTTTTAAAACATAGAGTCATACAAACATTGGTTCCAAATCCAATCAATAACAATTGTAATTTCAAAAATTATAGATATCAAAAGTAATCGATACGGAAAAAGCCATCGGGAGATGCAATGTAGTCAAGTCGGACGCTTCCCTCTAGAATTAAAAGAACATGGAAAATGTTTAAACCATAAAACATAAGCACAAAGCTTAGTAGGTTCCCCAAAATACCAAATACATACAAATGAGTGGGCCCAACCCTAGGGTTTATTTCAACCCAATACACATAATGGGCCCACCCCTGGGGTATATTTCAACCCAAATATACAATAGTGGGCCTAACCCTGGAGTGTATTTATACCCAAAGATACATGAAAAGTTATAAAAACAAT